TTAAAGGTTTGTTGTTTTATCTAAAAGATATCTTATTTTAAAATTTTTTTTTAAATTCTTTAAAACATTATATCTACCTAAACCGGTACCGTGTAAATAAACTTTTAATTTTTTAATTTTTTTAATTTGAAGATATTTATTAATTTTATAAACAATTAATTGAACATTATATGGTGGATTTTTTTTAAATCTTGTTTTTTTTAGTGACTTTGTTGACCATTGTTTTAAAAGATTTCCATTATAATTTTAGTGCGACGGGAATCGGTAATCTTCGGTATGACGATGAAGGTTCTTTGTCTCCACGATGTCGTCTGATGGTCGCAGGAAGGTTGCATCAGAACAAGTTGAAGTGAACATTCGCTTTCAAGAGACGCTGAAGTGCAAGAATGAACCAGCGTGCGGCACAGTACGCTAAGGCTGCCGTTCGAGGCAAGGTTGCTACGTTAGATAGATCTGAGGAAGACCCGAGTGATCCACACGTATATCGCAAAGGGAGCCCCGTGAAAGCACGGTCTCCTAATGACTCTCCATTGCTGGGAACGACCGACGACCCTGGAGACGATGAAGGCGACGACCTCGTGGACGGTCTAGATGAAACAACAGCTTACGACGCCCTTCTACAAGATCAGGCAGAGATGCAGGCCAGATTTACGTTTAAGGACGAGACTCGGAAGACCCTCGGAGACAAATTCATCGCCGCGATGCGTCGGAAGCGTCGAATGCTTAAACGCAACGAGAACCTCCGCTTCCGCGAGTTGTACAAGCCCCCAGAGCCCATTGCCGTGCTGTTGGTGGTCGTGGTGGCGGCGGCAGTGACGCTTATCACTCGAGAGCCATGCGCTCTGTATCAGGCAAATAATAAAATTAAGCCGAACTTGACTATTATACGGATAAATTAAGTGTCTGGATACTTTTTAAAATTGGCATCCCGTCACGTCTGAGCGCATTTCATTGGGCATCCAACTTCCAATGAAATTCTGCCGTTTGGCAGGCCAGAATCTCTCTTTCAGTCGGTGATACACAGCCACATATAGACTACATCGTACCCGACATTGAGGTCGAAACCCTACTTGCTCTTTTTTCGACGATACTGCGCAGACCTTAGGATGGTTGTCTCAAGTTGCACTGCCGCATGCAGCGTGTACACACGGCGCCACGTCAGTCACCCCCCCCCCCCTCCAACCTCCCTATATGACGGTGTAGCTCAATAAATACAGCGCAGGGTCTTGCCCCGAGAATGTTGGCTCGACTCCAACCGCTGTTATTCTGTGGTTTGTTTATTGTTGTTTGCCTGGATTGTTGATTACCTCGAGTACGTCCTGTGTGTATCCAGGGGCGGGATCCCTAATTGCTGCGGTCTCGAGCAGGCGCGGGTGGCGCTCAATCTTGCTGTTCAGGACTCCCGCGCGGTGGAGAGTGCAGAGGTGCTTGAGGACGGCGGCTGAGCCGCGCGATGTGATCTTCCGCTCGGCTAAAAATGCAAGAACTGCTTCCTCCGCCCGTTTGGCCAAGTCGAGAGCCTAATCGCGGTAGTC